CTTTGGGGATCAAGGTGATGCTTGCTTCCAGGAATGAATTTGGGAGTATTGCTTCCCTTTCAATTTCATTGAAGAATTTAAACAGTAGTGGCAGTAGTTCATCTCTAAATGTCTTGTAAAATTCAGCAGTGAAGCCATCAGGCCCCAGGCTTTTCTGAGTTGGTAAGTTTTTAATTACATTTTCAATTTCATTGATAGATATTGATTGTTTCAAACTTTTACGTCTTCTTTTTCCACTTTGGTAATTCATACTTATGTAAAATTCTGTCCATTTCTTCTGTGTTTTCCATCTTATTGGTGTATAGGTTCTTGCAGTAGGTATTGATAATCCACTGGATTTCTGCTGGGTCTGTTGTAATTTCATCCTTTTCATTCTTAATTGCATGGATTTGGGGCTTTTCTTTACTTTATCTGAAAAGGTTGGCTAAGGGTTTGTCGATTTTGTGTATTCTTTCGAAGAACCAACTCCTGGCTTCATTGATTTTTTTGTATCAGGCTCTTAGTCTCCATTGCATTGATATCTGCTCTGATCCTTATAATTTCCTCCCTTGTGTGAGCTTTGGGTTTGTCCTGCTCTTCTTTTCCTAGATGTTTACAGTTCAGAATCAGGTTGCTTATTTGGACTTGCTCTGTTTTCCTAATATGAGTATTCACTGCTATGAATTTCCCTCGTAAGACTGCTGTTTTCATTGGGCTGGGGATTTAGCTCAGTGGTTCCGACACTTGCCTCACAAGCACAAGGTCCTGAGTTCCATCCCCCGCACAAAATTACTGCTTTCATTTTGTAGCATAGATTCCGATATGTTGTATTGTCATTGTCATTTAATTGAAGGAACTATCTGATTCCTTCTTTAATTTCCCTAGTGACCCATTGGTTACTCAGAAGTCTGTTGTTCAGTTTCCATGTGTTTGTGAAATTCTTTTCCTATTGATCTCCAATTTCATCTCATTATGGTCTGATAATATACAGGGAGTAACTTCAATTCCTTTGCACTTACTTAAACATATTCTATGAATGAGTATGTGGTTTATTTTGGAGAAAGATCCATGTGCAACTGAAAAGAATGTATATTCTGATTTTGTGGGGTAGAACACTCTGTAAACATCTGTTAAGTTCATTTGTTCAAGAGTTTGATTGAGTTCTAATATTTTGTTGTTTATTTTTTGTCTACTTGATCTATTTGTGACAGTTGGATATTGAGTTCCTCCACTACCATTGTATTACTGCTTGTTTGGTTATTCATGTCTGTTAATATTTGTTTTATATAGTTGGGCAAAGTAGGGTTTGGTGCATATATATTTATGATTTTCATCTCTTCCTCTTGGATTGTTCCCTTTTACAAGGATATAGTGGCCCTTTTTGTCTCTCTTAATCAGTGTTGGTTTGAAATCCACTTGATCTGAAAAGAGGATAGATACTCCTGCTTTTTAGGGGGTTCCCATCTCAGGGAATACTGCTTTTCACCCTTTAACTTTCCATTCATGAGTTTCTTTTTGAATTAGGTGTGTTTCTTGTATGCAGCATATTGTTGGATCTTGCTTCTTGACCCATTCTGCCAGTCTATTTCTTTTGATTGGTGAATTAAGACCACTAACATTGGCGGCTATAACTGATACATATTGCCTTGTCATTGTCGTGACTTTTTCTTTCTGTTGTATTCTCCCCCTTTGCATTTAATTTCTTGTCATGCCTGATGGGTTCATTCTGCTGGGCTTCCTAGGGTTGTGGTCCTTATTGCCTTTTCCTAGGATTTTGTCTAAAATTTTTTTGAGTGCTGGTTTGGTATTCATGAAGTTCCTAAGGTGCTCTTTGTCATGAAAGTGTTATTTCTCCATCAATTTTGAAAGATAGTTTTGCAGGTTACGTCAATATGGGTTGGAGGCTGTTTCCTTTAGGGCTTGGAATACATCACTCCAAGCTCTTCTTGCCTTGATGGTTTGTGTTGAGAAGTATGCTGTGATTCTGATAGGCTTTCCTTTGTATGTGGGTTGTTTCTCTTCTCTGCTTGTAGGATTTTGTTCTTCTGTTGGGTTTCTAGAATCTTAACTATTATATCCCTATGCATCAATTTTTTTGCTCAAGGATATTTGGAGTCCTATATGCCTTGCTTATCTGTATGTCAACTTTTTTTTCCCCTACTTGGAAAGTTTTCTGCCATCACTTCTGTGAACATATTTTTTTATGTCATCTGCACTCTCTCCTGTTTCTTCATTGACTCTGATTAATCCTACATTATTCTTCTTTGCATCATCTAATAGCTGCTAGATTGATTTCTTGTGGTCCTTTACTATTTTAAAGCAATTTTTCTTTTCCTGGTTACTAATTGCAATCTTATCTTCTATATCTGAAATTCTGTCCTCACATTGGCTCATTCTGCTGTGTAAACTTTCAATGGAGTGTTTAATCTCCTGGAAATCTGTTTGCATCTGTTTTCTGGATTCCATTTGTTTCCTATGTTGGAATTCCATCATGTTCCTCAGATCCACTATTTTTTTAATGTGTGTCCTCCCTGGATTTATTAATCATGTCTTGCACTATGGGTACAATCTCTGCTGTTATCTGAGAAATTATTTCTGATTTCATTTTTTCCAGATCTTCTTTTTTGCCAGTTCAGGGAGTTCAGGTTATTGAGTATCAGATTTTTCCATCTTGTTTCCCTTTGGGGTTGGTTTAGGTGATCTGGAAGTCTGGTTTTGAGACTTGTTTATGTGTCTTCTCATTTCAATGGCGTGTGTGTGTGTGTGTGTGTGTGTGCTCTTGGTGGCCTTGTAGGTCATCTCCTCAGCACCATGGAGGGCTCTGCTCCTTGGTGCTGGTGGTGGTGATAAGGAGGCCCAGAAGGCTCCTCCTTGCTGGGGCCGACTTTTCTACTTAGCATTGGGGGTAGTGGTATGGCAGCCCAGAAGTGCAGATAGGGTTTTTGTTAATCTCTGATATTTTATCTGGGAAGAAAAGCCAATCTAAAACACCATGTATGTTTAAGATTTGAATGAATGGTTATTTTCTCTTTCTTACAACTTCCCTTTCAGGTGTCAAAAGAAACTGAAAACTCTAGAAGATCTGACTTTAGTTATGGAGGAAGCAATTATACCCCAGGGGAGGAGGAGTGTGAAGGCAGATGTGACTGGTGAGGTTTTTGTTGGGGACTGAATCACAGTGGAACCCACTGTAACCTTGTTGACAATAATAAATTGCAACATCTTCCGGCTCCAGGCTGCTGATTCTCAATGTAAAGTCTGTCCCTGACCCACTGCCAGTGAACCGGGTTGGAACACCAGTGGCTCTGCTGGAAGCACCATAGATGAGGCGCCTAGGAGCCTGCCCAGGTTTCTGCTGGTACCAGGCTAGGTAGCTGCTAATACCCTGACTGGCCTTGCAGGTGAGGGTGGCTTCTTCTCCTGGAGACAAAGACAAGGTGGCTGGAGTCTGTGTCATCACAATTTCTCCAGTGGTACCTAAGATAAGAAATAGAACAAGAATGTCACCTGTGCAGTCTACATCATGCCTCTTGTCTTAATAGCACAACACTAGAACAGTAGAACAGTGCAGTGAGCTTTAATCACTGTGCTTGCTGAGTAGAGGAACCAGCCCACCGATCCTTATGACAAAGAAAGGGTATCACAGACAGGCAGAACCATTCCATGTCCCCCTCACCTGGAAGCCAGAGTAACAGGAGGAGAAGGAGCCATGCTGGAGCTTCCATGGTTCACTCTGGGTCCTGCCTGATGCAGATCTTCCTCAGAGCTGTGGCCCAGGCATTGATATGGGCTCTGGACTAGAGGGTGGGTTGGGAGGAGCACGCAAAGCACCTGGGGAGGGGCAACCTGGGCTTCCAGCTGCAGAGACACTGGCTTCCTCTACTGTGAACTAGAGCAGCCCATGCCAGGTGGTCATGTCAGAAAAGGCTGCTGGCCAAACTGAGGGTAGAATGTTTCTCTTATACTCATATAATTAAGTCACTGTGGCTTTCTGCATTGTTAATCTTGTAAAGAAGCCAGAGGGTTTTTGTTAGGACCCTGTAGGGAACATAAATGAAGTCTGTGGGCCCACTTCTCTCTCTCATTCCCTTTTATGCTCACTCACCTCCAATAATGCATGCTAACACTGGGTTCAAATGAGGAGTCAATCAGAATTTCCTCTCCCAGATATGCCTTTTCTTGTTCCTCATTTATATTTCCCAAAGCCCATGCAGCAATGCCATTCTTGGTGAGACTGTGTTAAGGGCAACACTCATAAGTCCCAAGAGTGTGGAGGACCCACTACGCACAGATGAGCAGGCCCTTCTCTAGTACTACTGTGTAGTGACACCATTTCCCTGAAGACAAATGATTGCATTGTCATGCAGGCAGAGAACTCCTCTGTGGATGATCCCGTATTAATTACACCCCTCCATTCTGCAAAGTGCACAGCATACACCTAACCAGACCTCGTCCCATCTCTCCTTAACAGTTTGGAAAGCCCCAGTACATAATTCTGATGTAAATGGAATCCAGCATGATTTTTCTCAAGCTCCTCAGAATTGGGCACATATGGGAGGCTGTACTTGGTTCAAGGTCCTTCCTCTACACAGGCTAAGCAGCATTTTGTGTTACATTTCTCAGTTCTGAGCCTCATTTCTTATAAATCTGATTTTCCTAAGACAAAGTTTTGCTTTATTAACCTTTATGTCTCAAGAAAGAAATTTTATTAATGCTACTTCAAATCCTAAACAAACCTTCATCCATTCAGGAATTAGAGCAATGAGATATTATCTGTCCAGTGGACTTATCTTTACTTCAGCAAGTCTTTAAATCAACTATCTTGGGTGAGAGTGGAGCTACATCACTTACAGACTGTGACTTGTTTTCATTGTCTATTCTGAGAAACTACCAAAATAAAAATATTTCTCATGACTTTACAGTTTAAAAAAGATAAAAATTTATAACAGTATCTGACACATAATATGCACTACTATTATTTTGTTAGTATTAAAATATTTATATTTGAGTAGTAGTTAAATAACTTAGCAGAGATACTTAGAGAAAAGACTTAAATCTAAGCCAAATATTTTAATACAAATTACATTAAGTTCTAAGGCACATTTTATTCTTCATTCATCTACTGACAACTTCTAAAATCCTAGTTATTTTGTCTTTATATGGTAAATTCCTCATGCCTACCTAGACCTGTTCTAAATGTTTCTCCTCAGTATCCATGATAAAAACTCTATCTGTGAAGGGTTGCCATGTCATAATGCTGTTCTTTCTTTGTAAGTAATCCTCATTTTATCTTTTTAATATTTTGTCATTTTCTCTAATACTTATCTCATCAGTTACATTACAAAAAACTACCACTTTCACTTTGAGGATTGTTTTAGTATAATTCTTTCAAAGTTGTTATCTAGGGCCTTTAGAATATGTCACACAAGAAGAATATTCTTTAGGGTAGTGTTTTATAAAATGCACTCATGTGCCATTTTAAGGACTCAGAAATCAATTCATATCATGTCCAGGCAGTCAATTATACAGCATTTTGTTAGATAGATAGGTAGATAGATATAGATAGATGATCGATAGATAGATTTAGATAGATAGATAGATAGATAGATCTAATAAAGACCATGGTGTGTACTTGTGTGTAACTGATATTCCAAATTTCTAAGGCTCTCTGATGTAAGGAATATTAGAGGGTGCCTTGACTTTTTCCAGTTATGAACAAAAGGCATTGTATACATACAATGACTCAAACTTCTTTCTGGAATAAAGGAAGAGAAGATTCACTGAGATGGAAACTGGAAGCAGGAGAGGCTCATCCTGTGATTCTGTTACTGTTATTAAGTGGAAGAGTTGGAGTAGAAGCAGCTTGGAGACTGCCAAATTCTACTGTTCCTCTTAATTGCAATTTCATCTGCATACTATAGAGGTTGACCCAGAAATATATAATTAAAGAAGACTTTTTAGTTGAATTTAGAATTTTTTTCCTGAAACATGTTTCTTTGAGTCACATACTGAGTAGGACTGGGACATAGAAGAAAAGAGTAGAGTAAGAGAAGGAGCGTCACTCCCCAGGTTATGGTGTCAAGAGTGGTAGGGTTGGAAGATTCTTGGATCTCATTAGAGGCAACAGGCTTAGAGTGCAGGGAGTAATGCATGAAACTAGGCTCATTCCTGGAAGAATATTAGGTTATTCTGTAGTGAAAGAACTATGTTTCTTGTCAAACAGATCTTTATCTTTATACCCACAGACTTGTGTACCCAGTTTGAAACAGCACTTGTACTACTTACTTGTATTGTATTTATAAGGAAAGGGGATTTCTATAGAGGGCAAGAAGGGTGTGGTTGGAAATGAATCACAGTTTTGTGAAGGTGAGGGAGGCTATATCACAACACTTTCAACTGCATATATTGTAAACATGGTGAAGAGTGTGAGACCTGGAAAAATGACCATGTCACATGTGCCCTACAAACCCGAGAAGAAACTGAAGCTGATAGATAGCTTTTCCCTGAGGATAGATAAAGAAAGAGAGAGAAAAATGTTCAAAGTGCCATATTTGAAACAAAAAGGATAAATCATTATAAAGCTGATAGCAGTGAACAAATAAAAAGAAGGCATTACTAAAATGATTATGGTAACTACTTTGACAATAAAAAGAACTATGTAATGAAGACATTGGTAAGTGACATATTGCATTTTTATATTTACATGAGTGGTGATTGGTAGCAATCTTATCAAAATAACTTAAGCTGTCAAGACAATCAAAAAAGAGAAAATATTTAGAAAATTATTATATGAAGTCATGAAAATGTCCAGTTAAATGCCAATCAGGATATTAGAGAGAAAAGCCAAAGACCTTTATTTAACATGAATAAAATTCAAAAACTTAATAAATAGAAAATTTAGTCCATATTTATATTAAATTGATAAACCTGATATATATAGTGCATATATATCACACACACACACATATGGTAGTTCTTATTCTTAATACTTGGGATAAATAATTATATAAGAGGTGATCGACAAATACAATGAAGTTTAAATTTTATAAAACTTATTACAGTAAAAGACACATTACTAAGAATGATGGTACTACAGTGTTCAAAATATGAAGGAATATATTGAGTATTTGATGGGGATTAATGATATGCTACATTTATTTTGATTTAAATGCTCAGCATATTTTGATCACTCATCACTGATTAAACATTTAAGGCAATTTCTGTTAAATATAAATACTAGGATGTGTTTTCATTCACTTTATTCAATAGATTTGGCCTGATGTGATTTCTGGTTCTTCCCCCAAATCAAAACCCTCACAAAAGTAAATATTTTGAATTAATTAAGAACATTATTCAGTTGAGAGAGTGCAACTGAAGACACTCACAAAAGAGAACTTCCAGAACTGCTGCAGAAACAGCCAAGAAGAATGGAATGAGTGTGTTTAAAGGGAGGGATTACGATTTGAAGGAGATTAATGGCAGTGTGTCTTTTACTGTAATAAATACTTAAAAATTCAAACATTCAATGTATATGTTGATCACATCTTATAATTTCTGTTATAGTTATAAAATGAAAACTATGACAATTCTCTTTTCTTAACTTTAAAATAACACTTTGTTCCATGTAGTTTCCCTATTTTTAAATGACATACACTGTTTTGGACTTTTATTTGAAATAAATAGTGAACATGTATTAAACCTACATCTTTGATTTTATGTATGAGACTTACCAAAATTCTCATTTATTGACTACAAAGCTGAAGTAGAAAGAAAATAAGGATTTTTCAGAAAGACACCTAGTTCTTTAATGTTGGAGCTGAGATGATGCTGAAAAAGTTCTTGCTCACAAGGCTGAAATGCAAGAACAGGTGTGAAGACATGCAGCTGACCTTTGAACTTGCTGATGATATATACTGTTAACCATTATTATTAAAGAAAAACTTAATTATTATAAAGCACACTGATTTTAAGTATATAATTCAGTAAATTTGTGCATATAAATGCATCCTTATAAATACTTGTGAACCCAAATATATAATAAAACCCATAACCTTCAAAAGTACTTTTATTCCTTTTGAGATCAGTTTCCTCTCCATCCCACCTATCACGTAATGTGAGATCTGCCTATCACCACCACAGATTAGAACTTATTTTCTAGAATTTCATACATGTGTTTTTTAGTAACTGGCTGCTTCAGTACAGTGTAGTTGTTTTGTAAATCCATTCATGTTCCATAGACCAATATTTTTATTGCCACATATTATTTAATAATGTGGTGATGAGAGTCTTTGTTCCTTTGCCTAATGATGATCATTTGGGTAGTTTCCACTTCAGGCTACAGTGTGTGAAGCTATTTTCAATAGTCTTGCACCAGACTTTATATAAACATATCTTTCCAAGTATCTGCGTAGCAGTTCTGGAAGTATAGGGCGGACTTTATGACAAGCTTTAAGAATCTGTCAAACTATTCTCCAAAGCAGTTGTGTAGGTTTATGTTTTCACCAGGAATTTATGTGAGTTCCAGATGCTCCCACTACATAGTTTTTAAAATTTGACTTGATTGACTTTCAGCAACAACCATAATAGAAAGAAGAGTTCATTAAATAATCTTATTATTACCACTTTCTTGCACTTTTTGTTTTTGATCTGTTCTAAGACATTGAGAACTTACTTTTCTTAAAATCTCTAACCAAACAAGCAATTAGTAGAGAATGAAAGAGTAGTTATTGAGAAATAGAGAAAATACAATCACACCA